TGTAAATCCTGGCATACAGAGTGAGACTTCTGGTTAGGTTCAAGAGTAACAGGAAACTATGGCTTCTTTCTACCAAAGCAGTTTCTGTTGGTGTTATATTTATTTATATCCCACCTATTCACCCTGCTGGGCCTCAAGGAGGCTCACAGCATCAGAAAAAACCTTGTACAATTAGAACATTCAAAAATATTAAAAAGTTAAAAATACAAAAAAATCAGTAGAGTATCAAAAAAATCAGTAGAGTATCAAAAATAAATCAGTAGAGTATCAAATTTTAGTGTATTTAAAATACCCAAATTAAATACACTAAAACAATGTAAAAGAATAGCAGCTCGTCCAACACAACCTCACAGGCCCAAACCATTGCTAAATGCCTGCAGGAACAAAAAGAATTTTGCCCGACTGTGGCAGCATTGCAGGAAGGGTGCCAACCTAGCAGCCCTAGCAAGGAAACTGGGACAGCCGCTCAGAAAGCTCTCGCATCAAGTGTGCCTGCGAGGATGGTGGGACCAAGAGAAAGGCCTCTTCAGAAGATCTTGAAGCAGGGGCAGGCTCATAAGGGAGAATACTATCTTTCAGATAGCCTCAACCTGAGCCATACAGGGCATTATTAGTCAGCACCAGCACTTCAGACTGGGAACCAGTTTAGCTGTTTCAACAAAGCATGCCTCCTGCAGCCAGCTACAGTTAGCAATCTCACACCAGCTCACGTTTCTAAACACTCTGCAGAGGCAGCCCACATAGAGCACATTACTGTAATCCCAACAGGATGTAACTAAGGCTTGGATCACTGTGGCCAAATCAGACAGCTCCAAGCATGGGCACAGATGGCACACTAGTTTTACCTGTGCAAATGTACTCCTGGCCACTGTCAAAGCCTGGGCATGCAGGCTCAGGGCTGAGTTCAGAAGTACATCCAAGCTGCATACCTGTGTTTTCAGGAATGTAACCTTATCCAGCACAGGCTGAATTACTATACTTTGATGCACCTTCCAATTGACCAGGAGCACCTCTGTCTTGTCTGGATTAAGCTTCAATTTGTTCACCTTCATCCAGTTCATTATTGCTGACAGACATTGATTCAGAACTAATGCAGCTTCCTCAGAGTGAGATGGAAAGGAGAGATAGACTTGGGTGCCTTCAGCATACTGGCGACACCAAAGCCCAAAACAAAGTGGGTACTCAGGAGTCAGGTGTCCACCACTCTAGTTATCTCCGCATTCCAGAGATTGTCCAAGGTTTCAGCAGAATTGACTGCTGAGGCAAAAGGAAAATCCCAAAGAACCATCAGGAAACCATTTGGCTCCATCAGCCTCCTCAGAAGGACCATCTTAACCAGCCCTCCACAGGTTCTGAACACCAGCAAATCTAAACCCTACCTACCAGACAGCGATCTGTGCATGGCAATGGAACGACAGAGAGCTCCTTCACATTCAGATCACTATTATCCCATCTAGCACACAAAATGAGATCCAGCAAGCATCCAGTAAAATGGCTGAGACCAATAACCATCTGGAACAGACCCATAGTTATCATGGTGGACATGAAGTCCTGAGCCATGCCTGACCAGAAGTTTTGGCATGGATATTCAAATGTTTCAGCATGATAAGCCAAGCAGTCTCTAACACCAACTCTGACATTACCCCAGCTAGCACAGAATGGAAAACCGTTGAGCAGCAGGATAGTGTATCCATCAACAAAATCCCTACTCTATCCCAGGAACCCACCTTCAAATAGATACACCTGAGTCAGAAGCCTATGGGACAGGGAACATGGGCAGGGGGAAAGAATTCTGACAAATCACTGCCACTCCACCTCCCTGCCTCCCCCGCCCCTCAGCCTGTTGCTTGACAGAAAACCCTGGTAGGCAGAGCTAGGAGAGGCTAACCCCTCTCCCCAGCTACACCCAACCAGGTCTCTGATACAGCATGATCATCGGGGACCAAGCGCTGATTAGCAGTTTTAGCATTCAGCAGCAGCAGCAGCTTCAACCCAGGAGGTCTGTTGCCAGGGCCATCCAGCTTATTTGAATTATGAGACAATGTGGGAGGCAGTCAACACATTTTTACTGTACCTTCCATCACTATCGTGTGTCTCCTTCTGCCCTGTGTAACTGTGATGACAGTCCCTGACTTCCAACCTTGTGCTACTTCTTTGAGACACACATTTTTACTGTCACAGGCTGCCATTATTTTTTCACAATACCTCTAGCGGGCAGCTCTGCAAGCCACCCTTCAGCCTCTCCTTTGAAAGCAGAGGGAGAAGCCATCTCAAAACCCCAAGATGGCTCCCCCAGATGGAATGACCCCTTTTGGCATTGCCCCTTCGGCAGCAGCCCCACCCCCACTGAGCTTTCCCAGAGCTGTTGCAGCTGGAAATGGGGTCACACTTTGGTGGACCTGAGTCTGTAAGAAGGCCAGTTAGAAGACCCACAGGCAAGGTCAGACCCCAGCAAGGTGACGGCAGGAGCAGCACTGGGTGACAACTTGCCTTGCAACACTGCAGAGCTCCCCACCACCACCCACCCACCCACTTGCCAGCTTCAGTGCAGGATAACCTAGGTCAGCAGAGGCCCTCTATTATGAGGGGGAGTCTGCATAAAGTCTGTATCCTTCTCCTGCTACACTCCTTGTTTAATATGCCCTAGAAGGAGATTAAATGTTTCTGCCTTTGGCTTTTGTATGATGTTTGAATTCAGGAAATGGTGGAATCTTTAAAATGAAAAGCAGGAGTTCTCACTCTCAACTTTTAATACACAAGCCAGGAGAGGGGAGAATGCAAGCTTGAAGCTTGTGCATGTTTGGACACTGTAGAAACTTACTGCACATCTGAACCTCAGCAATGCTCTGAACTTCAGGTAGTACAATCAATATAATGGAGGTAAGAGATTCAGGACACAGTGCCATCTAACCTATATTGCACATTAAATAGGGGTCTCCAACCTTTTTTGAACCCATGGGCACATCTGAGAATTTGAAAAACTACTCTGGACACCACCACAAAATGCCTGGTCAGGGGACTGCCACCTCAGCTTCTAGCTGTTCCATGTATGGGTGTTAGGCTGAATTTTATTATTCAGCAAAATCATGTTTTCTGACCATTGAATAACACAATGTCTCCTTAAGAAGAGATTGTTCAGTTCAGCTAACTGCTAGCAGGGCAATACAGTACACGCTTCTTTTAAAAGTATGCTTTTACAATACCCAGCAGTTGCTTCTTTTGGAAAGGAGTCTGTTACACCAATGAATTTTGTACTGGAATAGCGATTCCACTGATACACAAATTTGTAAATTACTGACTTGTTTCAGAAATTAATAAATGGAAGTGGAGATAGATTCTTGTGTCCTTCTGACAGCTAGAAGACTGTTACAAAACTGGAAGGGTAGACACTCACCACCTACAATGCAATGAATGGATTGAGGACCTTCAAGGTTTTTGATATATGAACAGGTGATATAAAATGCCAATTTCAAATAGAAACTTGAGTATTTGATCCATTTTTGTTGATGCTTATGCATATTTGCTAAAAATTGTAGCATTTCATACAAAACCATGCATTTACATTGATTTTTTAAAAAATAATAAAATGAACAAGCCAGCACCATACCGGGGACCCGTTCATGTACACCAATAGAAGTGCCGACAGATGCTACATTGGGGATCCCCAACATGGTGCTTTCAAACAAGACACGACTGCAAACAGGTGCAAATTAGCCTCTATGCAGTCTTTCCACGTCAGTTTTCATGTATGTTATCTATTCTATTCTAAGAACCCTATGACAGCTGAAACATACAAAGAAATTGAATAGGCAAGACTATATCAGGAAGCCATAAGAGCGCATTTATGAATGACTGACAATAATAATAAAATTACAAAAACAGCTGTGAAATTTTGTAGGGCTAATAAGAAAAAAATGTACATTTTTGAGGCTCTGAAAATTAAACAACGCAGTACATAAAAGGGCAATGCTGAAAAGAAACATGATGATGACATAACAAAGAACACTGGTATACTAGTTAGTTGACTGAACAGAAGAACAACCCGTGAGTCTGATCATCTGTTGGGCACACTATGGTTGCTCCATGAACAACTCACACGGCATAGCTTAAATGCAGAGTTGCTTAGTGTGTCAGATGAAGCCACCTACACACTCAGACGGTAACTTATAAAAATTTTATTTGTCTACCCTCTATTAGCTGAAGCTATTAAGACAGTAAAATTCCATCTAAAGTAACTCTAAGGGCAGAAGCATATATGACAAGGGAAATTCATGGTTTCCCTCAGCATATTAACATAAAAATGGAAAGCCATTTGCAGAGGGGAATCCGTGTATGCAAGGCAGCACTTAGGCATTTCCATTTCTGCATTTCTTCATCTTCCCTGAAAGTCAGGGGTGGAAGAACTGTGCCTCTACCTCCGGTATAACTGGACTATAAGTTCCATCATCCCTAAGCACTGGTTATGATGGTTGAAAATGATGGGAACTAGAGCCTAGCAAGATCTGGAGGGACACAGTACCCCTCATTCCTGCCATAGCTAGTCCTTCAGACAATATTTCTCTTTAAGTACCTTTTGCTTCTGACCAGTCCCCTTCCATATTTGTGAAGGACTAGCTAATCAAAATAGCAATATAAAACACATAATAGATTATATAAAATTATTATTACTTCTTACCACATCAATTAATATAAAGGATTTAAAAATAAACCTGGGACACAACAATAAACTTCCACAAGACCAGGACAAAAAAGTCCAAAAGGACCTTCTGCAAAAATCAGTACAGAAGTTATTTTAATTTCCTTATTCTTCTACTCCCTGAAGCATATCTGTCTATACCAGCCTTCTCCAAACTGGCACCCTCAAAATATTTGGGGCTCCAATTCCAACTAGTCCCAGTCAGCACAGCCAATGATCAGGACCACTGGGAAGATACTAGATGTGGAAAGTTGGTCTACACATCTGTAGTCTCAAATACTCAAAAGAATAACTAGTTTGTTACCTCTGTGTGTCTTGAATGAAGAGCATTGTATTCCTTCTTCAGTTCTGCTTCCCTCTCTTCCAGTCTGCTAACTGAAAAAGATAATTAATTTACTCAAAACAGATGCATTGTCAGCAACAATAACTGAATCAATTTACACCAGCTGCAGTTTCCACAAATCAAAGCTATTCATCCAAAAGCCAATTCGGTTGTTTGAGGAACACATGCTCTTGCTTTATCTTCTAAGCACTCCTTTCAGTTGAACAGTGGGCAGCTCAAGCTGAGCCCCAGAACATTCTGAGGGTGCACCAGTATAAGTCCCACACTCAATCCCTAGTCCATTCCTCTACTGCTCCTGAAGTTGCTCCAAGTTCCCACAGAGAATAGAGCCTCACCATGGCCTTCAATAATATACGATGGACTGTAGGGAAGCATGAGAACCATTAACAAAAAGTTATTGATAGCATACCCTAATGCAACACGATCTAAATCCCACAGCTTTATCTTACTACTTCACCACTGGCACTCTTGTAATGCTGGAAGGGAGAAAGAAGCAAGGAGGTACCATAAAAATCCAGTGAAATAGATTAAAAATCAGCAATGAACAGTTGAGAAGAGAGAATGGATTAAACCAAGACATAATTGTCTACTATTATGTCACCACTATTATGTCCCCCTTAATTTGAAAAATGTATTACACCAACTGCAGAAGCATTGTTTTGCTAAATCAAAATTAGACTCCAAACATCCATGCAACTCTGCAGTAGTATTCAGGAAAAAATCCAGCTAGCCAATCACACCCCCATGAGGAATCGTAACATAATATGCTATTCTTGCCTTTACTACAACAACTGTATCTGCCTATATCTCCTGTGACAACTTTTAATCAAAAACTATACTCTTTTAGATAAATAGCAATAAGAACCCTATAATTTAATAAGGATCTTAAAACAGCATTGGGTAACACACGTTTGCAAGTGCAAATATATGCCCATGTTCACAAACTAATTTTTCCAGTTCATTTAATTTTAGTCTCCAGTCATGTAATGCAACTGCTCCTATCGAGCCACCCAACAACTATAGCTCCTGCTCCACCCAGTGGAGTACTGATTTTCCATCACACATGCTCTGCAGAAAGAGGTGCCAATAACTGAGCATACTCTTAAAATGGTATGGACAATTTTGCCTGCTAAACAGAGATAGGATTTCTCTCAATATGTTTTCACAATCAGTAAATCAATGCTGTCCAGCTACCTAAGTACAGGTTTCTTTGGTGTGCTTAAAAATCAGTATTATATCCTCCATACCCAAAACTGTAAAAATCAAAAAATCCACTGACAATAGGTGACACCAGCATACTCACAAGAGAACATTCAAAGGCAAGGATAAGCTCTATGGGAACGCCTTGCCTCTGAACCAAGAAGGTTTAGATTCTAATGCTTCTTTGCCAGCTAGGAAACAACTGAAGTTTCTGTAACTCCACTTCCTCAATAGACTCCACTTGAAAGGAGAAGAGATGAATGCATACATTTGGCCAGCAGAAAACAAGCACCAAGATCAGTGTCACACAGTTCATCCTTTCCTGCTTTGACCGTCAAGCTCAGCAGACAGTGCAGGGAGGGCTGCCTTACAAGGGTCACAATGCAGCACAGTACACTATCAGTCTGGAAATATCCTGTGATTTACAACAATATCGTAAGTTTATTACTTTATATCCTACCTTTTAACTAAATATGGTGCTCAAGGCAGCTTATAGTAAAATGCAAATTAAAACAATTTCTGAATTATCCTAATTATAATGTAATAATAAAACAGGCTCATAAAACCGTTAAACACAAAATTGTCAAGAATAGACAGTACCCAAAACCCCTTTGGCAACAGACCGGCTTACAAGCTAAAGGTTTGTTCGAATAACTGGCCTCTTTGTATGTCAGAGGAAGGACAACTGAGGGAGCAATCCTAACTTCTCTTGGCAGGGAGTTCCAGAGCCTGGGAGTGGCCACCATGAAGGTCCACTTGGGTATCCCTATTACACACACCTCCAGTGGAAGCAGGACTTCAAAAGAGGGCCTCCCCTAAAGATTGTTAAAACTCAGACAAACTCCTATAGGAGAATCTGGACTTTCAGGTAGCCTGGCCCCAAACTGTTTAGGGCAGGAACCCCCAACACATCACTAACATGCTCCACAGGAGCCCATAAAGCTGTCTGTTCTCTGACTCATTTCTTTCCCTTTCTAGCATCTAATTTGCTATTTCTCTCCCCCAGCACACTTCTCTAGCTCACTTTTGTCTAGTGAGATTCCCACAGCAACCATTATGTGACTTGATACATTCTCCATGTAAGTTATTTTGCAATGGTGCCCACAGCAGTTTCTCAAATTCCCAAATGGGCCCACAGGTCCAAAACAGATGTGAACGCCTACAACAGCAAGGGGAGTTATTTTTCCTTACCTTAACTCTAACCCATACTCCCTTTAAAAAAACAACGACGACAACAACAAGGGAGTTGGTTGGGCTCTAGTAAGTGGAAGAAAATGCTCGGGAAAAATATGGCAACTGCCTGAGCTACTTCTTCATTCTAGAGCTCAACCAAGGCTTCCACGGAAGCACCTACTGAGGTGGTAAAAGAGTCTCCAAGAGCTGCCAGAAAACCTTGTGTGTCCATCAGCTGCCTGGGTCAGACCACCCAAAGTTCACTGAGTTTAAACCTCATCAAGCTATGATATGCCCATGACAGTGGAAGTATAGGAAGTTCCACCATTCCATCTAACTCAAAAAGCAAGACCCAATAAATGGGGACAGACCAATGGCTGCCATGGAAGCCATGAAGACCATGGTCACATCTGACAAGGTGGCCTCAGCAACAATCTAGGGAAGCTCCAACACCACCGCAGAGACAATTCCGCCTAGTTAGGAATGGAGAGTATCAGGCAAAAAGTAATCAGACAGAATCCCTATTCTGCCCTGGACACTCAGCATCAGATACACACATACACAAAACTGCAAGATGACAGAATTGGGAACCTGGACAGGGAGACAGGTTAGACAACTGTGATCCTGCCATGGAGGAAAGTCTCAGCCAGTGAGGTCTTTGTGATAGAGGAAAGGCCTACCCACTCAGCCAGGAAAAACTCCTGACAGCTATTTTCACATCCACCCACCTAACCTTCAGCATCGGCACCTTAAGTATAGGAGTGGGGAACTTCATAGAGAAATTAGAAGGCATTGAGAAGGGTCAGAGTTTGAAGTAGCCTGCCTCTTACAGAAACAAATTTAGATGATCAAGAATATTGTGTTCCCATCTTCAGAAAGAGTGGGCACTGGTGAAGAAACTGGAATGGACTTGCTATAAACATTCAATCCAAAACTAGTTGGGGAAGTCAGAGAGCTGCTAAATTGGCCCTGTTGTCAAGGCAGACCCCAACACCAAAGCATACTTCAGCAGCCAGTTAAACGTTTCTTAAAAATGAAACTGCAAGAGGAGCTAAGAAGTGCAGAAGCAAGGGTGTCTCTTCCTTCCGCTTGTCTGGGGGAAAGGAGCAAAGTCTCCTTTAAATAAAGATTTCTGCGCATGCTCAAGAGAATGAATTTTCACATTAAGGCTTGTGTATACAATGAGTGTTATTGCACATTGAAGAAATGGAAAACAGAACTGCTTGGATCCAGATTTAGGCTGACTTCCTCACCTCCTCCTCCGCACAGCATTCCCTCTAAGGCCTCTGAAGTTGCTACATAGGTGGTCATATGTTATAGTGCTTGGAGTGTTGGACTGGGACTCAAAAGATCTGGGTTCTTGATCCCAGTTGGTCATGAAGATCTTTTGAGTCTAATATAGCTCACATGGGTTATTGGGAGAATAAAATGGAAAGGGGGAAGAAAATCATAAGCCAACTTAGGCTTCTTGCAGGAAAAAAAAGGTGGGATATAAATGTAATAAATTAATGGGGCTACCAGTGGTACAGGAGGGTCCCAAAATTCAGAAAGAAGCACATTCTATGACAGGAGTCCTTCTGACCACAGAAAGACAGACCTTGAATCAAACTAATTAGAGCTGGTAAATCTTACCCACTCCAACCTAACACACTGATCCTCAGGTAAAAGCTGGGGAGGGGGTGGGGGACAGAAGGTAAATCAGGAACAAGTCATAAATCTCTAGATGAGTTGTAGTAGATTAGCAAAGATTTCTGACATCTTTTTTTTTAACAAAAGCAACAGGATTACTCTCTCCACCCCCTTTACATTATACCATGGAAAGGAAGAAGGCTTAAGGTAGACCAGAAGCAGTTATGCATAGAAGGACTATGAACTCTGTTCTTCTACTCAAAAATTCCTGCACTCAGATTTCTTTCATTCTAAATGCAGAAGATGAGGTGGCTAGATGGAGTCACTGGGGCAGTGGGTGTGGGCCTTGGTGGACTCCGAGGGATGGTGGAGGGCAGGAGAACCTGGAGGAATGTTGCCCATAGGGGTTGTAATAACAAAAACAAAACAGTTCAAACAAAACAAAAACCAGATCCCAAAAGCCTAAAATCTGTCAACCCCTTAGCTAAAGTTTCACTTTTAAATGCCTGCATATTTTTTTCTTTAAAACCTCTGAGAAAGTTTCCTTAAGCTTTAAATAGATTTTGCTGTGCAAGTGCTAGAACTGACCACCCTATAATTTAGCCTATTGTACCATTCACAGTCCATTGGGTAAACAATCTTTCTGTTCTCCGAAATGCCTTAAATATTTTACAGTTCTCAGAGCATACACAAATGCACACCTGTGTGTCAGAACACACAATTGCTTAAAGCATTTTTATCCCACTCTTTTGCTAAAAAAGACTCCCAGAGCAGCTTACCAAGAGCATCAGTAAACATACAGTAAACATACATATGCTACTATCTGCGTAAAAGTACGTTAGATTTTTTTCCTATAACTGCTGGATGTTTAAACTAACAGAGCATGTAGGCTAGAGAAGATGAGTTCACCAAAGTTCTCCAAGCTACCAGGAACGTGAACAGCTACTCCGATTTGGTCTACTCTGCTACTCAATCCAGCCTAGTTCCATGCTGGCCAAAGAGAACCTTGTGGGTGGTTGCTTTCACACAA